AACGTCCCTTCTTGGGTTGGGCTTGTCAGCCCAGTCACCGCCTCACGTCTCAGCCCTACTAGTTCTATCACATCAGGCTTTGGAGTCTGACTTTTGGCGGGCTGGCTCTGATACCATATAGAAACCCATCGGTTCCACCTCAAAACCAATTGGCAATGAGGGGAGTAGCCCATAGACTTATATATTGATATCAAGTCTCTCTCACCACCGATGTGGGATACTCAACAATTTTATCATATATAATATCTAATGTTTTAATCTTGGAGCTCATACTAAGGTACATATTCTATGATGCCCTAACCTGGTTTACATTGTTATAACTGAAAGAACAGGCCCTAGTCATATTATTTTCTTGATTTTATATGTTCATTCGTATGGAAACTAAGTTTTTCAAAGTTGATTCCAGCTACCTAGTTACTGCCCTTCAATAAGTTTAAACATCCTTAAATTTTTGTTTAAATTACACTCGCATTTGATTCTTACGAACAATTTTACTTGGTTTCCAGTTGCAGTCTTGTTCTTTAAATAGCGAGACACAGAATGGAGAATTCTTTGCTTAAAGCCAACAAGAACACATGTCCCAACCAGCTAGAATTATTAATATTTCTCAAATACAGTGACTAAATACAAAATATCAATTGAAAATATTTAGAGAAGTTAATTCAATATCAGATACAAATGGTCCAGTGTGCGGAAGGAAAGGTGAAGCAGTAAAGACCCTATGCAGAGAAGCAAGTATCCTAATAAAACAATGATTGAAAATTCAAAGATCACTAACAAAGTGAAAATAGATGCATGAATATTGCTAAAAATGTCTTAAATCTAATGAAACCATCAGAGAATTTATTCCTTTTTCAATTCAAGCATAAACCAGCTATTTGGAAGGTAACCCTTTTTCCTATATGAATCATATCTTTATACCTAAATGAAACAGCAATCAGGAACAATCGAACCTACTTTTGACTTCAAAACATGGTCACTTAACAAATTAGGACAAGGAATAAGCATCATTTTAGATGTCCAAACGAAACCAAGCCTTAAGAGAATAACTATTTAAATGTTCTGGCAAATTGCATTATCAAAAATAAATGAAAACAATGGCACAGAAACTCATAGAGTACCAGGGACAGTACCAAAGACAGGCTTATGTTTAATTTCTAATTAATCCTATCACTAACCTAAACTTATCAACATTCCAGACCACAAGGCTCTACCCTTTTGCCCCAATGATGCTTAACTTAGTGCAGAAAGTTCTCAGGCTTGTTGGGGTGATCAGTCCCAGAAAGGGATCCAAGTAACTAACTGCAGGAAGCTAGACACCCGCTCTCAGTGACGTGCAGGTCAAATGCTAACTTACACAGTAACAATACATCAATATCTAGTTCATAGATTCCAAACTAATTAGCTAGGACAATGAAGTTCCTGATCCTATGCCAAATATCCTAACACGGTCCATGCTAATCATAACCCTGCTCTGATACCACTCTGTGACGTTCCCAAAGCTCCTTAGTCAGTTTAAGCTGGTTGGATTCATTTTTTGGGAACATCACATATTTAACCTAATACGCAATTTTAAGTAACAAAAAAATCTTTAAAATATTTTATAATGATCAAGAAACAAGCGAATGTGAAAATATATTTTTAAGGTTTTTTATCAATTAAAAATGCGTACTGGGTGAAACTTATGACAAATCAAAATGTCTTATATTAAGAAATACAGTAACTCTTTATTTGATTTTTATACGCGGTGATTATATGCACAAATCTCTTCGCTATTCCATTGTCTGAAATGTTACACAGATGAAGGAAAAAGCCTAATACTAATGTTGACTGATGAGCTGAAATTCCACAGATGGCGGCCAAACGAACCATTGTACTTCCTCCGTCCCATAATTATTGTCCAGTTTTACTAAAATAAAAGATTTTATTTTTTGTCAAACTTAACTATATTTTACCTTAAACAACCGGATATACCCCCATATAAGTAATTGTTTAACCACTAAGATTTTATGGATAATGTTTTTTACTAAGGACAAATGTATAACTTAATACATAAAAAGTCAAATTGGACAATAATTTTGGGTCCCAAAATTTTTTTGGGTAAAGTGGACAATAATTATGGGACGGAGGGAGTATCAGATTTGATTTGAAGCCTTCTTAGACCATCTGGATAAACCTTAAACAAAGGTAGTTGAACGGGAAAAAAAGGAAACCGTACCTCAATAATATCGAACGGACCACGCCTTCAAAACCCCGAAACAAAAAGAAGAGATTGAAACTCCGTCAACTATTTCGTCACGGTAATTAACATGACGAGAAAGTCGACGGTTTATAAAAGTTTGCTTTTTCTTTTTATTTCTTCTGAAGTCGACGAAGTCACTAATCCATGGTTTTGTACCATTCTTGGTTATTATTTCATGTAAAAATTAGGCGATCAATAAATTTTATATTCATAATCCCGTGTTTGTTTTGATATTTGAAAAGACGATGATATTGGTAGCATTTTTAAATATAATACTTAGCATAATATATTACTAGTTCAATATTCCATGATAGATTTTACAGTTGTTGCATTGCACATTCGACATAAAATAGTCAACTTTTTACATGAATGGTGATCGTAATAATTTACTAAAAGCTATATGCAATACAAATTCATTAAAAAAATTCTTTTTTTTTTTTATATAGAAATAGTCGGGTTCCACATTTTCCTTTTCTATGTGAAACTGACAAAGGAGTCGGCTTTACGTAAAGGACTAAATATTAAAGTCACTTTCAAAATTTGTTCAAAAGAATATTAATATTGAAACTTATTTTATGAAAATTGTTGGTGATAAATTTATTTTTGTCTATTTAGAAAATCTGATAAACAAGTAAACCAACATAATTCTAATGATTTTTTTTTATCATAGTAGGGATTAAAAATTAATAATTAAACTAAAATATAATAGTTGAAAATAAAAAATATACATAACATATTTAGTTTGAAAGGAAAAAAAAAAAATTGTAGCGTCAACTTAATCGTCGAGTTTATAAAATCGACGAAATGGTTGATGAAAGAGGACAATTGAAGCTTGAATTATGAAGTCGCCGTTTGGAACCACGTTTTTTTAAAATCCAAAACGCAAAATGATGAGATAAGAACCCCGTCGACTATGTTGTCGAGATAAAGGCACCCGCCGAAAGAGTCAACGGACCTCTAAACTTTTAAATTTTCTTTTCGTTTTCCTTCAAGTTTTGTACACTTTTAAGTGTTACTAATTCATGTTATTACATTTCTGTAATGAATAAACTTCATTTTCATAATCCCATGTTTGTTTTTATTAAAAAGACGACAAGCTAGTCGACATTTTTCGGCATAACACATATTATAATGAATTAAAAATCCAATATTCCATGACGGGGTTTAGAGTCATTGGTTAGGTTTAATATCAAATTATGTTTTAAAAAAAGCAAAATATTGAAATTTAGTTTTTAAAAATTGCTGGTGGTAAATTTGTCTCTAATTAGAAATTCTAATAAATAGTAAATGAAACATAACACTAATAAATAGTCATTTTTTAGTCATTCAGAAAATATTTATATTGACTATTTATTTCATATTATTAAAATTAGGCGATAAAATGTTAGTCATTTAAAATTGACTAAAATCAGAAAAAAATTTTTATCAGGTACATGCTTCCTCTTATTTTTTTAAAAAAATGTAAGAACTCGCGAGAGCTTATTCATTGAACTCATAATGATTTTTTGAGACTTTATTTGAGTAGATTCAGCAGCATCGAATTTAAATCTGTGATCGCATATCGTTATGTATGAATCATATTGTCCCATTGGTAATATTTTTAGTTCCATTGTCTTCTGAACCCAAACATAAATTTATACGATTCTATACCTCATCTAATTCAGCCCTATCTACCCTGTAACTAGCTTACAAATATGAATCAATATGGTAATTGAATTATTTCTTCAAATTCGCTCAAGAAAGTCGAAACGTTTCTTTGGGACATGTGATTCCATAGGAACGTCTAATTCTCTTAATTTTTGAGCTTCTTGAGCACTGCATTCTTTGCAATAATATTTGTGAATTTCAAATTGATGGCTCTTCTAGAGGACCCCCTTTTTTTGGAAATACAGCCTTATTTCATACAAGTCATACGTTAATTAGAGTACAGAAGAAGGAGGCTTTTGCAAGCCTGTGCATATATACATTCTACTAACTCTCTGCCTACCTTAACTAACCATAAACTACCAAACTCTAAAGCTATATCTTTAATGTCCTGCAAAAGATGAACAAGATGAGCTTTGACCTTCATCTTCTACATTTCTCCAAATACACTCATTGCGAGCTTTTCAATTGGCCCAAATGGTAAAGAAGGCTTGATGAATAATAATTTCTTCTGCTGGCCCTGTCAGTAACAGACCTTCCAACCATCCCCCAAAGGTGCTAGCTGACGTGATACTAGAGTTAGAATGTGCCGAGAGAAAGCTTGCCATACCTTTTTTGCTGCTTCACAATGAAGAAATAAATGGTGGATATCTATTTTAGAGGCATTTGGCCATTTGATTGTGCTTAAGCTTCGCCAAAAATATTCTGCATGAACTTACATGCATAAGCTAAACCAAAATTATTTTTCACACTTTTGTATTACATTCTGTATAACAATAGTTAAATATATAATTGCATGTTTAAACACTTCCTAAACAAAATTCACTTACTATATAGTTAGGGTGTTAATAATTATTTATTTAAATTCATGTCAATTATTTAACTAGTTTCACAAATAATGTCATATAAAATATCACAGAAAATCCTATATCACATAAGTTTCTGATTGTGGAGGCCGGTAAGGCATGAATTTTACCGCCTTAGTTTGTTAGATTAACCCTCCATCAGAATTCATATCAAACTACTTCATACGCCATTACTCAATAGTAAATAAAAATGGGAAAAGGACCAAAACATTCCTGAGTTATGTCCAAAGGACAAATTACTCCCCGACATTTCATATAAGGGCAATAACCCCCCTACCGCTAAGTCAAAGGACAAATTAATCCCTCCATCATCAAATCTTAATGTGAAAAGATAAAAATACCCTTAAATCTAAAAATAATCTTTTTCAAGACCAAATCTACCCTCTAATCAATTCGTTTATTCTTTTTTAAAAAATCATTAAACAGTTTAGCTTCGAATAAAGTTGCCGTTGACTCTGTTTTGATATATTATTTTTTCATGTCACTGCCGCCTCAATAAAAATAAACCCGAGAATAAGAATTTTATTAATAAGACAATATTTTATCAAGTGAAGTTTATCAATAAGACAATATGCTACTATATCATTAAATACTAAACGAATGACAATATTCTTCTTCATATTGACATGTGGTCATCAATATGACACCATAGGATTTTGGAAGCAAATGAAAGAACTCATGTGAACTGACAAAGGGTTATATCATACAGTCTCCAAGATGAACCGTTTAACCGCAAGTTCACAGTAAAATTAACAAAGCTTCTTACAGCCGAGTATTGAAACATATTTGAATACTGATGCTTTCGAATCACTATTATTCGCGCACCCCTTTATTCTTCTTCCCAGACAGCAGAGAAGCAAATTAACAAACACCTTAATCAACCGGAAGGTGCAAACTTTCCCCTGTTTTTTCAGTTTTCAAAATCATTTGCAGGGAGGAAGAGGAGCACCACAAAGGCATCTGTTATGGAAATAAGAGTACTGATCGAACCTCTGCAAGGCTCCACCTTGTGGAATCGGACCACAAAGCCTGTTATAACTCACATTCAGGAATTGCAAGTCCAATTGAGTCAACCCCTGTGGAAGACTCCCAAAGATCTTGTTGTGGTTCAAGTCCAAATTCGTCAAATTCACTGGAAATTCCACTTTAGAAAGATCAAACTCGAAGAGATTCCTCGATAAATCGATGGTTAGAACCGTCTTGCTCCTCCCAAACAAGAAGGATGCATCCCCTTCGAGCTTGTTTCTGGACAAGTCAATCTGAAACGAAAAGTTCAAATTTCCAAACGATGCTGGAACAGGGCCGGTGAGATTGTTGTGGGAGAGGTAAATATCGGGTGTAGTTCCGGCCCAGTGTCCAAAAGATTCCGGGATGCTTCCGGTGAGCTTGTTCCGATCTAAATGAATCGCTTGAAGATTCGGGAGCTGGGAAAGGGAAGGAGGGATGGAACCGGTGAGATCGTTGAATGACAAGTCCAAGTAAGTCAAGGTCTTGAGCTGGCTGAGGAATGAAGGAACAGGGCCGGAGAGATTAGTCCAGCTAAGTCTAAGCATTTTGAGACGAGTTAATTTGGTGATGGCAGATGGGATTTGGCCGGTGAGGTTTGTGAGCTTTCTGAATACCAAGGTTTCGAGATACGGGAGGTCGCCGACGGCAGGTGGGATTTGGCCGGAGATGTTACCGGAGAAAATGGTGAGAGCATTGACTCGGCCAGTATTCGGGTCACATTCCATAGCATACCACGAACAGCAATCTACATTTGGATCCCATGAGGCCAAGTGGTAAGGATTATTCAGGGCTGCTTTGATTTCTAGTAACACTTTTTTGTCGTGGGAATTGCATTTGGGATGGGCTGAGAAAGCAGGGGATGGCAGAGACAAAAAGAGGAGAATAGAAATGGATAATACAATTTTGGCTGACGTCTTCATCGCCGAGTTTTGTTGCATCCTTGTTGAGTATTGTTGGATATATATAGACAGCTTCCACTAGTCGGTGTCTGAAATTGTATTTTTTTTTAAAAAAAAAATTATTTAACAAGTTATCACCTTAACTAGAGCTCTCACATTCAAAACTTATTTGAATGCAAAAACATTTTGGCCTTAGATTATTAATTTTTTTAATAGAAAATTAAAGAAAGATTGATTTCTAGTTCGGTCAAAGTATATTAGAAGATCTCGGCACCGTCGGACGTTAATTCTCATTTCTCTCGATCTATCTTGTTGGAAAAACAAGCAAGGTTATTTATTTATTTATTTATTTTGGAATTTCTTACGTATCATTCCATATTTGTTAACTGTCATAAGGATTAATTCCATGGCTAATTTCAATTGATAGTACTTTTACTTTGATGGGGGCCTGTTGCCGTGTTCGTTTGCCAACCCCAAATTTTTGTGTTTCAAAGAAAAATTGTACTACTTCCGTCCTAAAAAAAATAGTCTATAATAAATTTTCAAATTTGTATTAAAACAAGACAAAAGTCAAAACTCAACGTGAATTAATTTTTTTGGAGACGGAGTGAGTACTACTCATTTCAACTATGCTAATAGACGACTGTACAGTTCGAGAGGGATGGGGCTAATATAATTTTCTTTTAAAGTAAAGAATTAATACATAAACCTTAAAAGAAAAAAAAAGATAGCAGGAAATGCTAAAATCAAATATAAGAAAAATGAATTTTTGTCTGTTAAAATTATATACACTACACAATCTAGATACACGACCTTGTGAACCTAAACCGGGACGTACCATAAGATGTTGTTTCATACTCTTCATTAAAAAAAAATTCCACAAATAAACACTTCTTTAAGAAAGAGAGATCTGATTGATTTTTTCGTTGTCGAACTAGGTCCCCCGTTCTACAAAATTCTCAAACCCCATAATTCTTTTTTCTCTTAATTAATTAGCCACCTCATCATCCCAAATCCTTAATCTTCAATTCCTTTTCATTAAAAAAGGGCGTTATTTACTTGTCTTAGTTAGATAAGTTATCTAGTGAAATAATTAAAGTGATGTTGATACTAACAATTGACAGAGACCCAAATGATTTTCAGAATCATTATCCGTTTTGAGTTTTGACCATTGAACAATTTACGTTAACACCTTCCCTAGCTGATCATGTGATTTTACTAAAAACAGATAAAACTCTTGCACTCCGACGGCGTAAGTGTTAGGAGTGTCGGCATATATTGATGTTGCGTGACTTTGCGTCTTCTTTTTTTTTTTTTTTTCTGGGAAATGATTCCATAGTTGATGAGGTAATCGAAGTAGTCCATTGTTACCTTTTCCCCCGATTTGTTGGCAAAGGAAACACTGGGATTAAAAGACAATTCGATTTATCATAAAAGAAAATCTACTCTACTACGTAGTATTTTTACTCCTCTTTTATAATTGAAGCTAATATTTTATAAATTCCTTATTTATGCTTTTTCTGTCTCAAAATAATTTTTCACATTGTATTTTTCTCATTAGTACAATATGTATTAAATGTAAAGATTTAAAATAGACAATTATTTTAGAACGAATAGAATGATCTCTTAAATGATTACAGTGAATAGAAAGCTTGTTCAAAACTAACAATCCACCCAAAATTGAAACAAACTATGACGAGTTAAGGGAGAATTAATTTCTTACAAATTCTTTCATGACTCACTTGTCTTATAAAAATAGTCAATATTGTAAATTGTAATGAAAATAATATTCAATCTATTTTCTGTTACATTTTATAAGTTGATTATTTATTTTGACGTAAAGAGTACCACTTGTGTATGAACTACATGGAGTCAAAGATCGGGAAATTCCAGAAGTGGCTACGCGTCTATGACTTTATCCGGAAAATTCCATGAAAGGGATCCGAGTTTGACTTTTCCAAAGCTCATCAATTATTGTACTAGCACTGCTGGAGTTAATAGATCTGATCTTCAGTGCGGTTCTACCTTCACCGCATGAGATTACTTTCTCAGGGCACCCAAACTTAACTAGCAGTACTAAGGCAAAGTTGATGTTTTAATATTAAAATGATCGAGTTAAATGAATGATCATAAAATAATAGAGTTATCATTGACCAAAATCAGTATCCAAGAATTATACTACCCTTCCAGTCTTCCTGTTCTAAACGGAGTGTTATGTTGACAAATAGAACAACTATTTTTGGACAGAGAGAATTATGATGGACTCATTAGTTGGGAGTTTGTGATGATAGCACATACGTCTTTTGAATTCAGTGCATGATTAGATTCCTTTCAACGAGAATCTTAGGTTTCAAATTATGGCAATTTAAATTGTATTCTGACCATTAACATTGAACACACCGTGTCATGGCACGTAAATCGACACTCTTGCTTGAAGTGTTCAATTCTAAAAATCATTGATGAATGATGGACAATACTAGGGTTCCAGTCTCATTAAGCATTCTAATTTCATGTCTAAATTAACAGGAGAATGAATATGAAAATCACCTCAGGGTAAAGAAAATGTAATGGTTTGTGAGGAGACTATCGGAATCAGGTTAGTAACCGCTATATCATTCATGGAGAGAATTTTTTTTTTTATTTTAAAGAAAAAGCTGCAAAACTGATTATGAAGAAGAAGAGGGAATCTAAATCCTGCAACCTCTCCTATAAAATTCAACGTATTGGTGTTATCGATATATAATTGCTATGCTAATAATAGTAGCGGTTGCAGTGGTGAAGTCTCTTTGTATGGTGGTGGCGCTTTGTGGCAGTGGTGATTATTATGGATAATGATTTTTACAAAGAATTAATCATAATTATTTATTTTTAACACTTTTCATTTAGAGTTTGAGCATTTAATATTAGAATATAATTTGATGATTGACAGATCATTCCCTATAACTTTTCCTTGTAAATATTCCATGCATGTATCAGTACCCTATAATTATAAGGATGTTGTCAATACTAAACTTGGAATAATTGCTCGTTTTACGGTGTAAGTTTCTCTCTCCTTCTTTATATGAAATGACCACATTTTGATGTGTTTATTTCTTACAAGTTAAAAGCAAAATTGACGATCCAACTAATAAGATATGGAAAGTGTTATTATTTCGTTTGTTTAAAGAGGAAAAATGGAGTAATTTGTTTATAGTGGTTAAAGAGAATATGCTGATATCCTCTTACACTACTGGCTACCGTCCTAGATTTTTTTTTTCCATTTCTAGTGATTAATGTGTATGTGTCAAAATATATAGACTAAATCACAGAAAACGTCCCGTATATTTGGTCAAAAAATCATTTTCGTCCCGTATATTTTAAAATTCTCATTTTTGTCCCATTTTGTCCAAAAAATGGTATTTTTCGACTATTTACGTTTCAAGTCAATTTTCCGTCTAATTGACCGTCAAAATGGGGGACATTTTCGTCTTTAAGCCCTTTTTTTATTTTTCAATAATTAAGATATAAAATAATAATTAAATTAATTAAAAATATTTTTAAATTTTATACCTTTTACCCGGTGGGGCCCTAGTGATATAATTTTTTATTATTAGCTGCAGTAAACCGTAAATATATTAAAATAATAAAAAAATCAAAATTCAAAATTTAAAAAAATTTGACTCCATTTAATCTTTTACCCACGTTGCTACAGTAATCCTAAAATTAATTTAATAGTAGTTTTTTCCTTAATAAAAAATCGTGTTCCCTTTGAGGCTATGACCCACGCGTTTTCTCATTCTCTCTCTTTCCACAACCAAAAGTTAGCCATTGCGGCCATCCCCGCTGTCATTATCTGCATTCTTCTTCTTCTTCCCAGGATTAATAAGCAACAACTCCACCTTGTTCTAATCGGGCATCCGAGCATACGACGATGCTCGTTTGTTGAGGATTTTGCCTGGGAATTCAAGAATAAGGAGCAGCCACCGGATATATTTTTTATTTTTAATTTGATATGGACTGGATCTTTTTTATTTGTGTCAATTAGTTCATTGTAATGGGATTGTACCTCCTAAGTGGTCAAATTTTGATATGGACTGAATTTGCCGAAGGCGGAGGGGGTCAAAGGGAAGAGAGATTTGGGTTTCTCTCAAGAGATATTCTCCACGGGTGTATGCTCTCAAGAGGCAAGGCCTTACTCTCTATGTGTTCGGCGGTTAGGGTTTCTTTAGTTGGGGAATTGGGGATTCTGGAGATTTGGGCATTTTTACTTGTTAGAATCTGCAATTCATTTGTTCCGTTTTGGCCAATCTTCTTAATTGGATTATTATGGATTTTGTTGATGTATGAATTTAGTTCAAGTAGAAATCTTAATGGGATTATCATGGATTTTATGTTTTTTTTTTTTTCACTTCTTTTCCAGCTACAATTTCAACAACATCAATTCAGACAAACAGAAGTCGCAATTCAACTGATCGAAAAGCTGTTGAGCCTTCTTTCTCAAAATTATAAATTCTGAAGAATTTATCGGATGTCCCTTAAACAAAATGTTATGTTAAATTTATTTTTTTTTGACTAAAAAACATCTCGCCAATTGCTTTTTAGCAAGTAAAAAAAAAAAAAAGTTTTTCAATTTGGAGACCAGGAATAATCATGTCTTCTAATCTCTGTGGGCCCACAAGTTAAATGCAGCCAAATTTTCTAAATTTGGAAATTCTTTAGTTTTGAATTTTTTATTATTTAATATAGTTATGGTTTTACTGAAGATAACTGTAGAAACATTAAATTACTGGGGCCCACCCGAAAAAAAGTATAGAATTTAATTTTTCTTTTTTTTATAATCATAAATATAATAATATTTTAATTAATTTATTTAATTATTATTTAATTTCTTAATTAATGGAAAATCAAAAAGATGGGCTTAAAGATGAAAATGCCCTCCATTTTGACGGTCAAGTGGACGGAAAATTGATTTGGGACGTAAATAATCGAAAAATGGCGTTTTTTGGACAAAATTGGACGAAAATGAACATTTGAAGTGTACGAGACGTTTTCTGTAGTTTAGTCAAATATACATACAACAAAATGGATGCCTCTCTACTTAAAATTCAGTTATTCATTGTTAAAATAAGAATAATGATATTCTTCTCTACAAATATAACTCTACTCATAACTCTATTTATATCTGTATCTATTTGGCAATCCACATCTCTCTCTATCTATTTACAAAAAAGAAATAATTTCAAAAGAGATTTTATCCTTTTCTTTCGGTTCTTTTCTTTTTGTTTCCCTTTCACCATTCGTAATCAGAGAATTTCCCTCTCGCAAAATTCTGAGAATCATCATTATCAAAATTCTCATCATTCGCCCGATTGTAACAAAAAACATAAAAAAAAAAAAATTCTCATTTGCCCAAAAAATCAAATCAATTGAAGCCATGCCATTGTTGGATTCTCATGAATAGTTTAGTCTTGATTCTGAATCAAACCGTGCGATTGTTGGGTTTCTCTATCCAATCTCCTATCTATGTGAGTGGTTAATTAACCTACTGCGCAAAAATTCTCAGAAGCAACAAAAACTACTATCTCATACATTAACCTAAATTTGGCAAGATTATGTGTGGTAGACGTGAACGAAGAATGATTTTCGATTGGTGATGGGAACCATAATTTTTTGTCTTCTTTTTTGTTTGAGGGTTATGCTACGCAGTGGTGAAAAGGGAAGAAAAAAGAAAGTGGATGAAACTTGAAAGTTTCGCTTGAAATTGATCTTTTTTAGTACAAAGAAAAAAGAATAAATTTCAAGTTTTTGTAAATAAAAAAACTAATAATTATGGAGGTGATGTGGAATGCCAACTAGATAGACATGTAAGTATAGTTATGAGTGGAGCTATATTTGTAGAGAAGAATATCATTACTGTTAAAATAATTACATTAGTAAATCTTTAAAAAATGAATTATTAATCTACTCGCTAAGTTGTAACTATATCAATTGGAAGAGAGAGCTGCCGATGTCATGTATATTAACGAAAGATACAAATTTTTATAGCCTTCGTTATCCACATTGTTCATAAATCAATATCCATCAGCACGAAGAAAAGGGGCAAGCTATAATTATCTTATTACAAAATATTTATACACGTACAAGCTTGAATTCCTCAATCAGAAATCAAAAACATTTTGCAGAAATATCGATTTCAAATACACAAATGGAAAAGTAACATTTGTAATTATACTGATGTGGTGTTACACTTATTTGACTACTTAACGCATAAAATGCTCCATACACACGTTCAAATATATTATTTTATGTGCTCAAAATGATTGTCATATTTGAATTTTTAATTATTATTAGTATAATTTGAATTATAAAGAAAATTGGACTGTAATTTCGAGACAGATAGACTATTAAGCATACTCCTAGCTGCAGGCAGGGAGGGGAGCACCACACAAGCATTTATTGTGACTATAGGCCGAGGATTCGAAGCTCTGAAGCTTGCCGCCTTGAGGAATTTGCCCACAAAGTTTGTTATAACTCACATCAAACTGCTGCAAGTTCAATTGAGTCAACCCTTCTGGAAGGCTTCCGTAGATTTTGTTATGATCAAGTATCAAACTCGTCAAACTGTCCGGAAATACCACGTTGGAAAGATCGAACTGGAACAAGTTGGAGTTCAGCTGAACTTGGTTAACCGTCTTGTTTTTCCCGAACAACAGTGTCGGATCACCGGTGAGGTTGTTGAACGACAGATCAATTTCAGTGGAGAAGTTTACGTAGCCTAAGGACTTGGGAAGCGGGCCGCTGAGAAAGTTGTTGGACAGGTAAAGATTAGGAGTTTCTCCGACAAAGTGTCCGAAGGATTCCGGGATGGGTCCGGTGAGGCGGTTGTTTTCCAAGTGTAGTTGGACGATGTTTGGAAGTTTGGAGAGAGAACTGGGAATCGAACCGCTGAAGAGATTGTTTGATAAGTCTAATACTCTTAAGCTCTTGACGTTTCCGAGAAATGATGGAATTGGGCCGGAAAATTTGTTACCGGAAAGGTCGAGGATAATGAGACGATTAAGGCGGGTAATAGTGGAAGGGATTGTTCCGGTGAGATTTGTGAGGTCACTTATGTCTAGAGCTTGGAGAAACCGGAGGTTGCCAATAGCCGGCGAGATTTGGCCGGAGACTTCACGGTTGAATATTGTGAGAGTAATGACGCGGCCAAGGTCGCATTGGACGCCAAACCACGAGCAACAATCGGTTGTCGGAACCCAATCGGCCAAGTTATCCGGGTTGTTGAGCCCTTGTTTGATCTCTAAAAGGGCGTCTCGGTCGTGGTAATTGCACTTCTTATCGGCGGCAAGAGATGGAGATGGAAGCGAAAGGAAGAGGAGAAGGACGGAAAAAGGAAGAAGGATTGATGATATCTGCATTTTTTTTTGAATTTAGATTGTGAGCGATTTTGCATGCACAAGCAACAGAATGAGGAAATGTGCTATGAGATTTGCATGCCTAGCTAGGAAAATATATAGTGTACATTTGGTTGTTTTCTTCCGTGTGAATCAATCTCCAATAATTGCTGTGGTCAGAACAGTTAGCTTGACCATCATATTTTTTAGGTGTAGATCAAATATATTGACAATTCAAACTTTAGTATTAACTTTAGAATGTTGTAGTGTTTTCTTTCTTTATCTTAATTTGAAAACAACAGCAATTACTCCTTCCCCTTTATTAACAGTCTATTTTGGCGAATTTCGACAAACTATATATTATTAGATTGAGACGGAGAGTACTCAATCATAGAAAATGAAGAGGATTAACTTTTGCCTTTGTGCATGCTTGATAGCTACATGATGCATGCAACTATTTTGGATACGTGGGACATTCTATCACTTCATTTGGAACGTCAAACAAGTGTCAAGTTGTATAAATGTGTGCCTGTCGGAGAAACTGTAGACTTTCATAAGCTACGTACTACAATGATAAAAGCCTTTTTTGTTTTATTTTCCTCTAATTTTTATTGTAAACCAATAATAAAACTCATTTGATATATTTGCCAATTAATTATCGACATTTTGAAAATATTAAAAATGTTGTTATGTTATTTTGTGCATTATATTTATATCCTTTACTGATCCAATTGCCAATTCATAGAAGTTTAATTACACAATTAATTCACATTTTCAATGTTGCAACAAAAATCATACTTCGTCATGAAATTATTGTTTAGTTTGAAATTTTATTTTTAGTACAAATTAAACTAAAAATAAAAATTTAAACCAGATAATAATTTTGAGATAGAAGTAGTAAATATTTATTCAATTTTCATACGCAGTGGATTATATGTACCAATCTCTTCGCTATTCATTGTCTGAAATGTTACATAAATGAAGGGAAAAAGAAAAAGAAATTGAAAGTATCAACGGGAGCTAATATAAATGTTGACTGATGAGCTGGAATTCCACCGATCAGCGGCCAGGAAAAAAAAATTTGTATCAGATTTGATTTGAAGCCTTCTTAAAGAAAGAGGTTTGAACGGGATAACACGAAATCGTATCTCAATAATAGAGATTAGACAAAACGCTTGGAAAAAATAAAACGAGGAATAGTCTTCAACTTTCTCAACTATAAAAATTTACGCGATGAATAACAACTCCATTACGTTACTAAAAGATGATTTGGCCATTAAATTTTAATGGAAAAAGCAATATCTTAATGAGTTAAGAAAATTTTCAAATATGTGATTTGTTCGATATATATATATATATTACTCTCATCCCAAAAAATAATATGTTGATCTAAAATAATATAACAAAATAAACTATATTTCGAGAAAAAGAAAATATATTTTCTTCCCTTTTACTTATGCCTATAAATGTCGATAATGTTTTGATGTGTTTTGTCTTATTTAAATTTTATTCATGTGCAAGTTCAACATTCGTCATTTTAAAAGGTGTCACTTTGCTTTACTTTTTATTTTTTATTTTAAATTTTATAAAACTATAACGTATCATAACAGCATATGCACAATAATCGCACAGTTACAGTTATGTATATTCGACCAAAGTAAACTTATTTGAAAAACAAAAGTGAACTTAACTTTTCCGTTTTATTCATTTAGAAGGTTTAGAATCCAGGCTTTGCTAAAGATGCACCAGACTCCTAATTTTATCCACTTGACCCAGCGACTGTTTCTTAAGTTTCTCAAATTTCAAACGTAACAAAAAAAATGTCTCGCCCATAAGATTGCGAGTGCCAATCGTTTCTGCGGTTCTACCTTCATGAGATAGACTCAGAGACATTATTTTTCGCAGGCTATACTTAATTGGAACTCATTAAGATCTCAAGCTTTACTTAACTGGAACTCCTTAAGGTAAAGTGAAATGATGACATCTATATCCATCAAAATGACAAGGCGAATACAAAATGAAACCATATTATTCCATCCATATCATTTTATTAGTCCAGTCTGTTGAATTATTTGTCATTCAATGAAACCAATTGTTAGCATGAGTGAGTGAAATATATTTGTAGTTAGCGAAGATCTAGCTAGCTAGAAATTTATACTATGTTTAGATGGTTTTTTAAGTGTGTGTTTTTAGGTATTTTTTCTTATTAGGAATGTAAAAATACATATTGAAAATATGAAAAAGGTATGATGTGATGAAACATTTATTAATAAATTTGACAATACCATAAAAAATAAAATAAATTCTGAAAAATCATGGAGCCTGGATTAAAGGGAAGTTGACGAAGCCTGGATTTACACCGCCGGCTTAGTAGCGGAACTCCGGCTGGGGTTTCCTGTAAAAGAGGGTTTTAGGGGTCTTCCGAGGGTAGACACCCCGACACTTAAGTCAGTAAAAGGGTTTTTTAAGAATGTATACGAATAGTAGTCTGTGGTAGATATAGCGTACATGTATTGTGGTATGACCAACCCTATTTATAGGCATGAAATTACCTTGAAGGAGGCCGAATCCTATTAGGTTTAATGTTCCAGAACCGCCTCTGTAAGGTCGGTTGGTGCATAGTAAGTGGATGGGCCGGTCCAATAGCTTGGTGGAAATGTACTCGTCAAGTGCCCCTGTCAGGTATTAGTTGTATGAAATAAACAATGCTTGACACAAAATAAACAATACCTGGAACCGGACCAAGTTGGATGGACAAGTCTCGGCCCACGCTGTATCGAGCAGGCATGATGGGGTAATTCGCGGGTCAGGATCTGATCCGGGAAGGTGACGCGGCCCAGAATCCCACCTAAATGGGTGCAGACACGCCCATTACTCTGCACGTTTCCCAAACGCGGCTTCATATCATTATGCCTCCTTGAAAATATAGAAACCGTCGAATCGTGGGTCGATTGACCCTCTTTTTATTGTTTGAGACATTCCAGAACTTCTTATTCTTGTTTGGCTTTGCAACCATTTGCTCCAAATACAAAGTTTTCCGAACCTTGAAAAGTCGCCGGAATACTTGTTCCCCATCCTCCCTGCCGAAGAATGGACTGCTGCTTATTCCAAGGAATCCGTATCGAGAACATCATCCAAAGGTTAGCACTTCCCTTAGTTGCTTCAGCATCTTTGATTTCGCCATCGTCGCTACAGCTCTTGTCAGAATCGTCGGAATAACAGTCGCTAGAATTCTGGGGGGATACAATTCAAAAGGCGAGTGGAAACCTATTTCAGCAATAAGTTCCTAGATTCCCCTCTTTTTATTTTATTTTCAGCCTTTTTAGTTTCAAATTTCAGTATAAGCCAGTGTAGATCTAAACCTATTGCTGTAAGTAGGGAATTATGGCTAGAAACCCAGATTTGAAAACTGTCGATGACGTTGCTTCCACCATAGATTCCGATGAGAAGGTAAAAGGTGTAAGAACGAGATATGACTTGCCCCTTGATCTAGAAGCTAGAGCCCCGCTAGGAACCGAGAGAGCTAATTCTCCTCATGAGGGAAGAATTACCATATACGATCGCTTTATGCATTCAGAACTAAGATTCACCCTCTTCCCTCTGTTTGAGGAGATTATTCAATATTACAAAACCCTTCTTGCTCATTTTACACTGAATTTTATAACCTTTGTACTCGGGTTCGCAAAGATTTGCGAACGAATAAAGATGAATCCCCAACTAATTCTGTGTAGGTACTTTTTCCAAGTCGTTTTTTCCTCGACATCATTCCAAGATTGGTATATTTTCAAAAGACGCCTCAGGTCTGGTGTTAAGAAAATGGTCAAGACATCTGGAGGTTCACCTGAATGGAAGCCTGAATAATTGTTTGTGAAGGCTTCCGAGAAATATTGCATTGCATGGAACCATCGAGAAGTAGAAAGTCTCGGGGTGATAAAGGATGAGTAGACTAAGGAGGATGACGAGAACGTCGAGGAATTTGATGATGATCTAAAGAAAATCTTGAAGTACCCAAAACTCATTAAGTGGAGTGTCGTGCAGCACTACATTCCCGCTGTTCCTATTGAGGAGGAAAAAGACACTAATGTTCTCGTCGAGGAGAAGAAAGGTACTAATCTCTTTTTATTGCTTTTGCTGTTTTTAGGTCATGTCGTCGAGCAATACTGGTTCTCGACTTTATGATGATGAAGACCCCTTTCCTATTGTGAATTCAGATGAGGAAGTCTCGGCCACTGTAGGCGCTGCACCGAAGAAGAAAAAGAAGAGAATTGTAAAGGACCCCGAGAAGGAGAAAAGAAAGAAGGCGAAGGCCGACGTGCCCGCAACAGAATCAACGATGCAGGGAGAAAAAATTGTTCCCCAATCCATCAAGGAGACCCGCGTTCCACTAATGGAATCTGGACCAAACAGTAAACCACTTGTCATAGACGAAGGCAAAACCCCTCTCGAGGGAAAGGCAACCATCTTGCCCCCTCAATTGTTCGAGGGAGGTCCAAAAATGGTAGTTCACACATTTGGCGATCCTCCAACTATTGAATGCCCCCTGTTGGAAGAATTTGCCGCTCAACTGAAAGAGACCGATAACGTGAGGCTGCTAAGTACTTTACATCACTCGGAAATATTCGTGAAAATATCCTGCAGACAAACTTTATTCTATTCAGTGAATTTTACAAATGAGTGCGGCCTAGATTGCGTACTTGATGCACTTAAGGAAGTTGAAGGAGGAACTGGTTCAAGCTCGAACCAGGAGAGACCAAGCATTCATCGAGAGGATTGCTCTAGAAGAGAAGTCTCAGCAGATTCAGGCCAAGGAACAAGAGCTACGTGCACGCCAAGTACCATGAGCTGGACGAGAAGCTTAAGGCTTTCTCGAATCTGCATATCTCGAGGGAGGACCTACGCAAATGGTGTGCTGCGTTCCGGTTCAGGATGCTATCTATAGATGGGGTGGCAGCAGCTATCGAGGAAGTAAATATGGCTACCACAAAGTATGGAGCCCATAAAGTAGCTGCCATGGGCCTCAAGAGGCTTAATGAGGACAAGCCTATCAGGGCCAAGTGGTTCAAGCAGTTCCTTGATTGAGGCCAACGGTTTAGCTTCTACCCACTTAGTGGCAGACAATATTTTACAAGAAAAAATCCAACACCTTCCTTCCTGATATTGAGGCCAATGGTTTAGCTTCTACCCACTTAGTGAAGTAATCTACTGCTACGATTACCCATCTTACTCCTACTACCCCTTTTGGATGAAAAAGGCTGATGATGTCTGTACCCCATTGATAGAATGGCCAAGAGCTTTGATGGTGACCATCTCATGCTGCGTTGTCGAGTAATGGGGGAAAAGCACTGACATTTATGCATTTTTGTACAAACTGGTATTCATCTTTGAAGACCATGGGCAAAAGTATCCCGAGGGCAGTACTTTCTTAGCGAGTGTTCTTGCTCCCATATGTGCTCCACATGATCCCTCATGTATCTCCTCGAGGACATAAGCTGCTTGTTTCGGTCTAATGCATCGCAGCATCAGTAGCAGGTACCCGTGCTTATGTAACACCCCGTCTCTCAAAGTGTATTTAACTACTTTCACCTGGAGTGCTCGAGCGTCCGATTTCCTACTTGGCAACATCCCATCCATCAGATATTGAATAAACGGAGTCATCCATGTGCCACCATCTTCGGTAATGGTCATTACGGGAACCTTTTGAATACTAGGTTCAGGGAGGATCTCCACCCAAACCTTGTGGCTAGGATGTGCAAAGTTTGAGGAAGCCAACTTGCTCAATGCATCCACTCTTTTATTTCTCAATTCGTACAATGTGAGAAATAACGCACTCCTCGAACTTATCTTTTAACTCGAGGACGCACTCGAGGTATCGTTTGAGCTACTCGTTGTTTGCCGTATAATCACCCAGGATTTGATTTACCACCACATGTGAGTCACTAAAAACTTGAATCTTTTGAGCCATATTCAACCCTGCTATTAATGCTTCATATTCAGCCACGTTGTTAGTAACTGGGAAGCCGAATCTCAACCCGAAGGTATAGTCCGCATCACACTCTTTCATGTTCTCGATCTCAGGATCAACCGATGGTTTCGCCAGTATGATACTGACTCCTCCCCCTCATCACAACGAGAGCCGTCGACGTATAACGTCTGATATCAGTAGTTCGAGGCATCTCTATGAGGAAGTCTGTGAAAGCTTGACTTTTGATTGTTGTTCTTGGCTTGTACTCAATATGGTGCCCCAACTCGACTGTCCACCTCATCATTCTCCCGGAAGCTTCTTGCTTGAGAAGGATTTGCTGAACGGGTTGTTCTGTTAGCACTCTTATCAGATGTGTTTGGAAGTATGGGCGCAGGCGTCGAGCAGCCAGGACTAAGCTCAAGATAAGTCTTCTCACGGGCGTGTATCGGGTCTTTGCCCCTTGTAACACTTTACTGACAAAGTAAACAGGAATTTTCTTGCTATCCTTGTTTTGGACTAGGACGGCTGATATGGCTTTTTCTCGAACAGCAAGGTACACATATAGGGTTTTCCCCAGTTCTGGTTTGGCCAATATAGGCAGTTGTTTAAGATGCTCCTTTAGCTCCAGGAAGGCTTTTCGGCATTCCTCGTTCCATTCAAACTTTCTGACCTTGCGGAGCATGTGAAAGAATGGGAGGCTTCTTTCTGTGGCTTGAGAGAGGAATCTGTTCAAGGCAACCAAGGATCATGTAAGTTTCTAAACTTCTTTAACATTCTTCGGGGTTTCCATGGCTAGGATCGCGTCGATTTTTGCTGAATCAACACTGATTCCATCCTTGGATTCGTGGTATCCTAGGAACTTACCCGATCCTACGCAAAAGGCACATTTTTTTGGGTTAAGTTTCATATTAATCTTACGGAGAATCGAGAAGATCTCGCGCATATCCTTGATTACTTGCTCATCTTCGTTACTCTTGATCACCATGTCATTCACATATATCTCAATGTTTCGGCCAATCGGGTCATGAAACGCTCGGTTGACGAGATGCTGATAGGTTGCACCAGGGTTTTTCAAGCCAAAAGGCATCTTTTCATAACGATACACCCCGATCTCGGTGATGTAGGCTGTCTTTTCTGCGTCTTCTCGTGCTATAAGGATTTGATGGTATCCTTTATAGGTATCAAGGAAACTGAAGGTCCTATATCCACTGATACCCTCGACCATCTGATCTATGACTGGTAAGGGATAATAGTCCTTGGGCAGTGTTTGTTGAGAACCGTATTATCTTGGCACATGCACCAAGAGTTGTCAGGCTTCCGTACTAGGACTGGATTAGCCAACCAGGTAGACCAAAGAACTTCTCGGAGGATGTTAGTGGGCCAACTTCAACGTTTCTTCATTGATGATATCACTGCGATCTCGAGCGAATATTCTCTTCTTCTGTTGCACAGGTTTAACACTGGGATCGACATTCAACCTGTGTTCAATAACGTCTCGTGGCACCCCTGTCATATCTGCGGGTGACCAAGCTAATATATCACGGAACTCACGTAGCAAGGCGACTACCTCGGCTAGCAACGTTCCTTGAAGGGATATCCCTATCTGGATGGTCTTGGAGGGATCCTTCTCGTTAAGAACAAGCTTATGTGTTTTGCTACTAAGTGATGGTAGGCTATTAATGTCGTAATCCTCCGATTGCGAGCGTAACGTTGTTTGTTGGATTGAGTAGCACCCCGACATAGCAGTGCCTGAGTTAGACTTCACGATTTTCTTCCCCATCTTGACAGCTGTGAGTGAACACTCTCGAGAGTTGTGTTGGCATCCTTGCACCACTCCAATTCCGTATTCTGTTGAAAATTTCATTACCAGGTGATAACGAAACCAAATTGATCAAGCTTAACACATTCAAGGTCGTCCTAGAATCACATTGAACGGCGATGGTGCATCGATTAAGGCGAAATCCATGTTTAGTGTAACCATCATAGGATTAGTCCCTACTGTGATGGGAAGACTTATGATTCCCGTCGGGATAATGATATTGCCCGAGAAGCCCATCAATGGTAATGTTGGCGGGCGGATCTTTGGATTTTGGATGTTCGTCTGCTTGAAACAATCGTTGTATATGATATCGACTGCACTGCTATTATCCACAATACTATCCTGTCGACCTGTTTGGATTAGGAGCCAAGGTTTTTGGGGTTAGCAATTCATCCTTGTGGATTTGGAGGATTTCGCGACGTGGTTTGGCTAGTGGGATCAACTGCCTATCGAGGTTAGGCAATGTTGTCCTGCTTTCCATGGTAATCCTTGGCTTATCCCTTGTTCTGACTGTTGTAAAAGATTCCTGCGACCTTTTGAGTGTATGCTCTTGTTGAATATGATTCTCAACTATGGCTCATCTCAAATTTACGGTATAAAGGGGCTATGGTCCACAGCCATTCCAATGATCCTCCTCATCTCCTCTCGAATCGACACATTATGCCACTTCATTGCCTGTTGTTGTCGAGGAGGATGAAGTGGGAACTCCTCGTGATTGTTATACTGTTGCCACCTAGGAAGTGAATACTAAAGATGACGGTGATGCCCCCGTTCATATTCTTCTCCGGTATCATCATTGTCCCAATACTGACTGTGGAAAGGTCTGTATTCCTCCCTTGGAGGACTTTTTCAATACCAGTTGGGTCCCAATCGGCCGTGGACATTAGTCTTTCTCGGAGGCTTCCATTCATCCTCTTCCACGACCTCGACGCTTGGGGATCCGTTTTGGTAGCGGTGTCGAGGAGCCTTACGTCTGTATACCGCATCAAACTCTTTGAGGGCTATATCAAAAGTGGGATATTTCTTCCTGAAAGCGTTCCAGTAAATAGTATCTCGAGTTGTGGTTGAATGGTCTTCAAGAAAGCCTTCGCGATATGAGAACTCTTGATAGTCCTCTTATTCCTGGACTTTTTGCTTAACTTGCTTCTTCTCGAGAAGGGCTAAGGTGTGGCGGGCTTTCTTCTTGTCGATCAAGTCAGGCAATTCTTGGTCAGTTGGATCAGGTTGTCCAAGGAGACAACGACGCCTTGTTTCTTCGAGGACATATCTTTTCATCCTTTGGTTTTGATCATTTTCATCACGTAGCTTTTTGAGTTTGGTCTCAATCTTAGCCAACTTTTGATCCTCCGAGCGCTTCTTGGGTGCTGTGGTGTTTCGAGGAGGATGCAAGTTATCCATTTTCGTTGTCAGATTAGTATTGCCTGGTTTTTTCGGATTGGGCTGGGAAGAGCCAAGGACCAAATGTTCCTTTTTTGGTTCTTTCTCGGGTCCTTTTTCGTGGCCTTTTCCCGCCTTCTTTCTTTCTTGTCTTCTCTGGAACTCTGCCAGGGTAGTGTTGTCGGCTGGACTGCGCCGCCTACTCGAAGATGTTGTGCTGTTTTCATCTTCCTTAACCGTGGCCATTGTGTAGATGGTCCCAGAAACCCTAAATGGCACTGAACAAGATTAGGGAGACTTGAGATGGTTTTCATGTCACAAACTCTAGTTTTCGGGTCCTACTGGGCGTGCCACTTGACGATGCCAGGATTTACACCGCCGGCTTAGTATCGGAACTCCAGTTAGGCTTTCCTGCAATAGAGGGCCTCGGGATCTCTCGAGGGTAGACACTCCAATACTTAAGTCAGTTAAAGGGTTTTTTAAGAACGTATATGAAAAGTAGTCTATGCTAGATATAGCGTACCTGTATTGTTGTATGAGCAACCCTATTTATAGGCATGTAGTTACCTTGAAGGAGGCCAAATCCTATTAAGTTTCATATTCCAGAACCACCTCTGTAAGGTCGGTTGGTCCATAGTAAGTGGATGGGCCGGTCTAATAGCTCTGGGTGGATATGGACTCGTCAGAAGTGACAACCGTTGTTACTACTGTCTTGAAAAAACCATTTTAGTACAAAAAACTAAGTACATAGCTGAATTTCTCAGCCTCCTATATATTAAGAACATTATTCTGAAATGTTATTCGTACATTATTTAGATATACCAGATTTCCCAAAAATTTTAAGCATTTTTTCTGGATGATAGGAGCATAAACCACTAGGTGAAGGCAGGGAGAGGAGCATCACACAAGCATTTATTGTGGGCATAAGCCATAGATTCGAAGCTCTGAAGCCTGCCGCCTTGAGGAATTTGCCCGCAAAGTTGTTATAACTCACATCCAACTCATCAAACTTCAATGTTGTCAACTCTTCCGGAAGGCTCCCGTAGATTTCGTTATGATCCAGTAACAAATTCGTCAAGTTGTCCAGAAATACCACCTTTGAAAGATCGAACTGAAACGAGTTAGAGTCCAGCTCAATGTAATGAACCGTCTTATTTTTCCCGAACAGCATCGTTGGGTCGCCGGTGAGATTGTTAAATAACAAGTTAATCCGATAGGAGAAGTTGGAGTAGCCTAAGGATTCCGGAATCGGGCCGCTGAGGAAATTGTTGGATAGGAAAAGATTGTATGAAAGGTCTGATTTTTGGAAGTTTAGAAAGCGTACTCGGGATCGAACCGCTGAAGAGATTGTTTGAAAGGTCTAATAATGTTAAACCCTTGACACTACCGAGATATGCACGAATAGGCCGGATAGTTTGGTTCAAGAGAGGTGGATCCTGTTGAGACGATGTAGGCGGGTGATCATGGAGGGGATTGCTCCGGTGAGGTTTGCAGAATCTACTATCTGGAATGATTGGAGGTACCGGAGATTGTCGATCGCCGGCGAGATCTGACCAGGTAGTTTGCTGAAGAAAATATTGAGACCAATGACGTGGCCGCGGTCGCATTGGATGTCATACCAAGAACAACAATCAATGGTTGGATCCCAAGAGGCCAATGCTTCCGGGTTTTGGAATCCTTGTTTGATCTGTAAAAGGGTGTCTCACACCCAGGGATTGCAGTTTTTGTCGGCGGTGAAAGACGGAGATGGAAGTGAAAGGAAGAGCAGGAGGAGGAGGGAAATGGGAAGGAGAATGGTATGTTTGAAAGTTGGAGTCTCCATCTCTTAATGTTGCAAACAGATTTCGAAGAATGGAATGTGAGATTATTAATGCAGCTGTTTGCCTAGCAAGGGATATATATAGTGTTCGTTTGGTTGTTTTCTCCCGTGTGTGAATCAATATTCGATCGAATACTATTGCTTTGGTGAACAATGATTTATCCTCGTCAAAGGGAAATTCTCCACTTTAATTATTACATTCCAAATTCAAAAAGATAATTTACATACATTATTGTAGATTATGATATAATTTTGAACTGCAGTCAATTACAATTTACAAATTATAATATAAATTATTTTCATAGAATGGAGGCAATATTTTTTTAATTTAACGGTTTCCTTATTGGACGTACTACTTTTCCAAATACAACAATTAGCAGCGCAATGCTACTTTAATTATCTATAGATCGAGCACACACACCCACATATATATATATATATTGACAATTTAATCTTCGTTTATTAATTTTATGATATTATAGCCTCTCTTAATTTCTTTTTAATATAAACGAGGTCAAAACGCTAAGATACATGTCTTTATCTTTACACGGTAATTTAGCACTAGATTAGTAGATTTTATTAGGCCTGCTAGTTAAACAGTTAAACCGACTAACCGCCTGACCCGAAATTAATTCGGCCAATTTGGGTCGGGTAATCGGTTTACTCGGGTAAATTTCGGCTATACCTGACAAACCGATAATAATATACGGTTCGGTTTCGGATTTGGGGAACATTATTCGGGGCTACCCGAATTACCCGATAATTTTTATTATTTTTATTAGGTATATATACCGTCGGTTTAGGGTTAGTTTTACTTCTTCTTTCCTTTTATTTTTTCCTCCATTTTCTCCCTCCTCCTTCTTCGTTTCTTCGACGCCGCCGCCCTCCAACCAAATGCCAGCATCGATTTCTCCTTACTTTCCGCAACCAAAATCAACAATCCACCACATTCCACCAATTCCTTCAATCAAAATGACAGATTGACCAAGTTCAAACTTGTAAACCTCTAAGTCGATTCGTCAGAGCTGAAGTGGATCTCACCGGGCATCTACCAAATTCAAAGGCCACCGGAGCATACTGATGTTTGCTGAATCTCACCGGAGCTTTCTATTGGGATTCCTCTGCCTAGATCTATTTCTTTAAACCCCAGAGTACGTCAATGTCGTTTCTCAGTCTTCTATTAATCTATTTTTGTGTTCTCGTTTTTTTCCATCTTTGTAATGAAGAATATGTTTGTTGAATGAAATGTTAGATTTTTGGATTCATTGTTTGTGTTTATTTTGGGTTCACCTGAACTGTGTAGACACCGAGGATAGGCGCCGACTAAAGCTATATATTTATGTGTAATAACAACGACTGAATTGTGTATTTATGTGTAATAACAACGAATCTTCCCTTTGGAAGCAAAATGTGATCTTCATAGGTATCTGTTAAGGCAAACTTAGCACGTACTTTGAACAGATCAACTTGGATGAGAGCTCTGTTATAACATGAAGTTTTAATGCTTGAAACTATTTTCATGTATGGTAAAGTTATTGTTTGTGACTTGTGAAAATGTGCAGGGTTGCCATGTATGTAAACTTCAATGGAAGTATAGTTTGGGAAACATACCCAAAGTATCTGATAGTTGTATCAAAGCATACTGTATATATTTGTTTTAAATAATTTTTATTTAATAGATTGCTGATAGAAGTTCTCTATAACTAGTACTGAGGTTTCTATAGTTTCCATCAAGGATATAGGGAGGATGATGGTCTGGTTCTGGAGAGCGATGTAGATGAGCAGCTATTGATATATACCATTTAATCAAGTTGTCAAACTACATTCAATCGCTATCAAAGGGCCAAAGGACGAAGGTATAAATTGGTACTGTAGATTGTTGCTTTTAAAATGTTAATGTTAGAAGTTATCTCTCTCTAGTTAGTTAGTAAGCACAGTTTTTTTTTGGTTCAATGAGCGTTCTCTAATATATTCTTCCTACTATTTTAATGGTACAAACATAGTAATAAGTTTGGTTTCCTTAAATTGTTGTTTACAAATATTGAAAATAGTCCATTGTTTTGAGATGACGTCAAAGGGTAATAATCAGATTGTAAGAATCACTACTAACTGTTTGTATACTCTTTAAATGCATGAATGAGAATTGAAGTTTGAGACTGTTACTAAAGGTGAGATATATTTCAACTGTTTTTCTATCTTCATTGAATTTACTAATTGTGAGTCTTGAATGCACCAATTGTTCTGTTGGTCTGAATCTGATTATCTGAAGTCAGTTCTGTTGCATCAAATGATTTGGAATGAAGTGATCAGTTAGGTATTAGGTTAGCAAAGATGTGGTCTCTTGTAGTTGTAGATGTGATATTAATATGTGTACCACTAAACTATAATAGGGCTGCTTGAACTATACTAGTTACATAAGTTGCAGCTTATGAGAGTTGTTTTTATCTTGTAATATGTTTTATTGTTTCCTGTCAACTACTCAACTGTGATTAATTAATTTTAGCTTTAGTTTGTGACTGTATAAATTTGTTGCTTGTTGCTGCTGTGAACTGTAACTAAAATGTTTTATTTTTTTTTAGATGTCTGATTTTGATGAAGATGAGCTTGAGGAGACTGAAGTGGAGGATAGTTCACTGCCTCCTATGCTGGATTTGCCTACTGATGATTCATTAATGGTAGATGTCGAGATTGAGACGAAAGACCAAAACGAAAAGCCTGAAGGTCAAGGCCGTCGAGCTAAAGTCACAAAATCTCCGAAGCGGCGTAGGGTAACTCGTAATAGGTTTGTGGTATGGTCTCATTTTGTCTAGATCTACACTGCTTAATGGTAAAATATGGGCTACTTATAGTTATTGTTAGAATACTTATATGGCTGATTCTAAGAAGCATTGCACAAATAGTCTTCATAGTCATTTGAGTACTTGTAAGATGTACTTAGCTCAGAAGCATGATCCTGGTCAGTCTAAGCTAGTGGTTCCTGGGGAGGGAAAATAGGGGAATATAGATACTTGGAAGTATGATGAAGCAGAAATCATTAGGGCAATGATTAGTATGATAATAGTTGATGAATTGCCTTTTAGGTTTGTTGATAAACCTGGGTTTAGGTATTTTGTTAGGAAGTTGCAGCAATTGTTTACTCCTAAGGGTAGACAAAATTGTAGCTAATGACTGCTATAACCTGTATTTATCTGAAAAAGCAAAATCGAAACTTGAGCTTAAGGCTCTGGTTAGTAGAATCTGCTTGACGACAGATACTTAGACTTCTGTGCAGCAGAGTAATTATGTGTATCTGACTGGACATTATGTGAATAACAAATGGGTTTTGAAATTTTTTTTTTTAAATTTTGTCCCATTACAAGTCATAGGGGCTTGATATGGGATTGAAATTGAAAAATGTTTGATGGAGTGGGGGATTGAAAATAAAAATGTCTTTTCTATAACTGTTGATAATGCTAGTTCTAATGATGCTGCTTTGGAGTATCTGAAAGAGTAGTTTGTTGTTCGAGAAAAGTGTGTTGGGCGCAAAATGGTTGCATAATCGTTGTGTGGCTCATGTGATTAATCCAGTTGTTAAGGATGGTCTGACATATATAGGTAAGTCTGTTGAAAGGATTAAGGCTGCAGTTAAGTATATTTGGCAGTCTCCTAAAAGAATAGCAAGCTTTAAAAAATGTGCTGAAATTGAGAAGTGTGGCAGTTGTAATAATTTAGTATTAGATGTTTGTACGAATTCTACATATTTATGTTGGACATTGCTCAACAGTATGAAAGAGCCTTTAGGAGATTCGAAACTGGTAATCAGAACTAAAAAGATGCTTTAAAATATGATCCTGATGTGCCAAATTTGGGTCTTGGGCTGTCTACTGCAGTGGATTGGGTAGAAGCTAGGAGGGTACCTGGGATTCTTCATCATTTTTACGAGATAACCTTGAAGGTATCTCGTACCAAATCTGTCTTCTCATATTCTTTTTTCACTAATATTACTTGTATTATATATTACTGAGTAAAATCATCAATGAAAGTGATGACCAGGATCAAAAAATTATGGCTGAAATAATGAAGGGAAAGTTTGATAAATACTATGGTGAGGTTGACAATATGAATATGGTTCTTTTAATGGCATGTGTTTTTTATCCTAGAAATAAGTTGAGGTATTTGGATGCTGTACTTGCTGATGTTTATGGGAAAGTGGATGGGAAGTGTAGATATCAAACTATTAAAAGCGCCATATATGAGTTGTTTGTGGATTATGTGAGAATCTATGCCCCTAAACCTAGTGTTAGTTCGCCTTCCTCCCAGCCTGATTCTAGTACTTCTGCCAATTCATCCTCGAAAAGGCCTTCCCTTGTTGA